ACACTTACGGAATGAGATCAGATACAGCTCTATCTTTAGTGAACCATAGTCTAGTGCCTCTGTGGCATTTTAAGCCTTTGGCTGAGAGTGAATACAGCTTTGTGGTTCCCCTGCTTCTGACATGATTTGGTGTTCCCATATATTTGTAGGTTTCTTTTTTTTTTTCCATTTGAGCTTGTTTGGCTATAGGGCTGCTTAACACTCTTCTCAAACGGCTTTTGTAAGGTTAAAGGAATGCAGCTTGGTAACAAGTTTGTGTCATTTTAAATATATACCTCCCAGTAAATAAGGAAGAGTCTTGCAATCAATCCCTTTTAGTGTGTTATATGTTTCACCTGACAACTAAACCCTCTATTGATTAACCATTACTTTGTTAGATAATCTTGTGTCATTGAAGCCACTGTAAAAATTAAACTCTTTAAAATGTTTTACCCTAGCAGCAGTGCGAAAATTGAAAACTTGTTCAGAATTACAGCCAGCTTCCACAAAGAGGGTAGTTTTCAACAAACTGGTTTATGTTTGCATGCTTTATATGCAATATAAAAACATATTAAAGCACTCCAACGCAAAGCTATCTGCCTGTAGCGTTGAACCAGGCTACCATTTCAGAATACTTTTCCTTGATGAAGAAACCTCTTATTTTGATGAAAGGTGAGGAGAAACTTGAACAGTTTTGGTGCATTAGATGAGATATGTAAAAGGGTCAAGCTTTAAAGGCGAATTTGAGAAATTTCCTTTTCTAAGGCTTAGTTTTGGCTTTGATTTTCCTGTTTTTCTTCCAGGTAAGTCAGTGTTCCCATGGGCATTGGAACAAATGAACAAGTGAAAGGAGGTACTCTTACGTTGCAGTGTAGCATTAGACACCATCAAATGTTTCACTTAACGTGAAGGGCTCTGCATTATTACTTGATGAAATGACATTCATTCTGCTTTCAGAATTCACTAGTCTATTCACTGGACCTATTCACAATAGCTATTAGTGTACAAAGAGTATCAGATGAAACCAAATCACCATGTCCAGCAGCCATTTTGTGTCTCTCAGTAGCCAGTAACTGCTGCCTGCAAAAAAGCACTTGGAGACTACCATATAGTACTGCCTTGACAATATATTCTCCAAGCTTCTTAAAACCTGGCCTCATGAGCCAGATGCAGCTTCTTTTTAACATTGGCAGTACATTTCCATTGAGACCTATCAAGCAGAGTGACATTACTTCTTTTTCCTCTGGACTTTAAGGGAGAACTAGGTTTTCTGTGTTTTGCTTTCAACCTTTTAAAAGATATTGTAGAACATGCATGTGAATCTTCTTCGCCCTCTTTATTCATCCCACAAGGCTAATGACACATTCTTCTGTGAGAATGTGAAAATAAGAACTTTGTAACTTTGCAAAGACAGTAATGTATGTCAAATGGAAGAGTACTTTATGTTTTATTCTCAAATATGCATCCTGATGTGTTGAATCCATGATATGTACTCTTTTTTATTTTCTCTTTTTCCCTTTTACTTCTGCTGAGAAACAAAGAGCTGCTGAAGGACTAAATGGTTGTCTGGTAATTTGGCACATACATGAATCCTTATGTAATAAAATTACTGTGTAAACATTGGCTCTTACAGTAAAATCATGTTCTTCTCTCCTTCTGTGGTTTAAAAGGTTGGGCAGGAGGAGTTCCTTGGCTTGTTCTCAAAGGGCAGAGAGGTATATTGATAGCATGAGAATGCCCAGGTCAGTCAGACCTAGTCAGCTCATCCCCTGCCAACTCCAGCACTCAGTGGAAGGTGCTGTTAAATGACAGCAAACAAGTCTGGCCTCTTTTGGTACTCCACTGGCCTCCTGTTCCTGCAGCAGCTACTGCTGTTGCACTAGGCATGTCTGGAGGATATCTGTGCTGAGTATCTATGGAGCTGCTGTCCATGAATTTGTTTCGTTCATTTTTCTACTTCTGATGAAGTTTCTCTGCATGATGTCCTGGGGCAGGAAGCACTAGAAGTTCAGTGCCAGCTATCTGAAGAAGTATTTCACTTTATCTTCTTTAAATTTATGCTATACTAGTTCTGTCAAATGTCAGTAGTCCTGCTATTGTGGGATTTGATTAACAAGTTATGCTGGAAGTTCAGTCAGTGCTGTTCTCACTGAGAACAGCAATGTGTGGGTGAAAGTAATCAAAATTAAGCAATACACTGGAATAATTATTTGTATTTGTGTTCTGACATGCATGTAACTTTTGAATAGTGCATGGTGAGCTTCTTTCATTCTCAGAAAATGCTGACATCTTTAGGTTTAGCATTTAGTATTTCACATTTTGTATTTGGATTGTCTACTTTTTCCCATTTGTAAATGTGGAGAAAGCCTGTTGTAAGCCGAGCTTTTAAAAAGCTGGCATGCAACCAAGGTTTGTGCATACCTGTCTTGGGAGGAAAAAGACTGACAAGATTTGAGTTCATGGTTCGGTTCACAGAGCCACAGACTTCCTTGTTGCTTTCAGTAAATGTTTTTGTGGCTGAGCTTTTGATCTGCAAAGTGGAGTTAGTAGTAGCTTTTCTCACGTCAGGGCTCCTCATAAAACTTACATATGTATGTACAGTATGTAGCAGACAAGTTGTACAGAAATACTTCATATAGAATTCTAAGAATTAAATTGCAAGTGAAAAAAATACAGATTTACAATAAATGGGTTAAATTACACAAATGTAAAAACTGAACAAAGAATCTTACCATCTCTTCGTAGTTTTTCACCTTCATAATCTAGTTGAGTTTAATACCATGCCTGTGAAATGAAGTTTGCATGGTATTGTCTGAATGTCAGTGCAAAGCAGATGGTATCAACTTTTTGTCTTATCGGTTAGGATGCTATATCTAAGCCCAAATTTATAGCAGTTTATACCATTCTGATCTTTCTTCTGAGGAGAAAGTTGTATGCATACCAGTGTGATGGTGGCAAATATTTGCAAGAGGCAGTCAGACTTCTGATTGCTTGTGGCCTAATCCAGTTTGAATCTGAGCCTCTCCTGCTGAAAGATGCACTTTGCTCATCTGCGCAGCACCTTGAAAGAATTCATGTGTTTGATTTTTTCAGTTTCTCTTTCTGGGTCTAGAGTCAGAAATTGCTTGCTGGCTGCTAGTCAAAGCAGATATCAATGTTGTGACATGTAAGGAGAGCTGCTGGAGCCAGAATATTCTGCATTCCTGTCTGTCACTGGTTGTTTTCTGGTTAGAGACCTCACTGAGAAATGAAATATGAACCGCTAAAGCAATGGAGAAATTAGGGCTTTTGTGCTCTCTTTTGTTTCTGCGTCATGGTGAACTTTAAAGGGACTCTGTAAATAGGTAAGGTGGAAAGGACTGTGATTTCCTTAATTTCTCCAAGGATGGTTGTACTGTGCTGGTCCAGTACAGATTCACCTAAGCCAGTATACTGATTCCCCCGTGCAGTAAGGAATGATTCATGAGGATTGTTAGAACTTAGGTGAATGTTATAAACTGATTGGTAACATGCAGTTCCCTTCAGTTGGTGCTTACCTCATCTGGGGGCTGTTGGGAGCACTGGCTTTGTGGACACATCTCCAATTGCTCAGCATAAACCCCTTTTAATCTCTTTGCATTCTTGCCTCTGACATCCTTTGCCATGTGCTCCTCTGCCAGTTTTTGTGTTGCTGCTGACAATATTTTGCACAGAATCAAGCCTCTGGCAGAGGGGCAAGAGAGGGAAATAGCTTTTTGGTCCTTGACACTGAGGGAATTTGACTCTGCTGATGGAGCTTTGGGGCAGAGGGAGAAGTTTAGGTGCCCTTATCATACCAGTGTTGTCCACAGGTTTGGTAACCTGTACCAGATTTGGGGTTGAAGTCATTTCAAGTCAAGCAAATGGAAATCATAGCAAGCCCTGAAAAAAACATCTCCAGAGATTGCCAGTGAGTATTACAGGGAGAGAACTGACAGGCAGCTCACTACAAGTGTTTGTGCATCCTCCCATTAAGGCAATCATAAAAATATCATGAATATTAGTATGCTTTGCTTACTGCTCTTGAAAATGTCTTTGTAACAAGTTTGATTTCATTCTCTTTCAGCATATTTTTGGGTTTTCCCCAAGCAATTATTTGAGGTGGCAGCATCTTCTTTGTGGTCTGCTTTCTACTCTTGAAAGAAACCAAGTTGGTGCTTGCTTTTGAGCTGCCACTTTTGCATGGGAGCATTTTTGTGTAAATGGTGGCAGGTGTATTAATCCCATACTGAAGCTCTTAGATGAAAAGGCTTTGGGGGTGAGGAGGAGAGCCTCTATTAAAAGCTCCTGAGTTTTTCAGACATAGTAGTTTAAACAGCCAAGTCAACCAAATTATAATTTTAAGCCCACTTTGTAAGTATTGTTCATACACTTCCCTCGAAAGGCAGAGAGACTGTGAGTGATGTGTTCTGCAAGGACTCTGAAGTCTGCAGCCCTGACTGGGGCTCACTTGTGCAGGACAGCATTAAAGAAAAAAGACATTCTATTTCAAAAAAATTAAAAAAGCTTTACATGACTGAGAAGATTAAATACAACAATGAAATGTGGTCTGCATTTGCTCCTTTCTGACTATAGCCTTCACTATGTCCCATGTATTTTACATTTTATATTCTGATAAAGTCGGATGTTTATTCACATTTGACATACTTTGTGTTAACTAGTGTGTAGAAATCACCTTGCTTTAGTTGTTTCATTATGCAGCATTTTGTGAAAGAACAAAAACTGAGATGAGAATTTCTTTTCCATTTTCAAAGGAATAGAGAAGAAAAATCTTTTTCTTTGTATTTCCCTACTGTAAAATTGTACATAGCTTCTCAGAGGACATGCATGCCCTGAACATAGACTTTTGCTATAAACTAATTTATTTTGGTTTGAAACATTTACATCTAAGAAAAAGGAAATGTAGTAGAGTAGTAGAGTTAGTGTAGGTTCCTGTGCCAAAAATGTGGTGCCTGAAAGAAAATTGTGTTCTTCTATTCATAACCATTTTAATCTTTCTGCAGACCTACAACAGCTGTGCCAGACTGTGCTTAAACCAGGAAACAGTATGTCTAGGAAGCACTGCTATGAAGACTGAAAATTGTGTGGCCAAAGTAAGTAAGAGAACAGCTTTGGTTTTGAGGGGTTTTTAGCAAATTGTTCATTATTAGTCAACAAAAAGTTCTTGTGGAATATTACAGTTAGGAAAAAAATATTTAAACAAAGAGCAAGTATTTTGAGTAGGCTTTTCTGTCCTTCAGTGTAGAGATTTTAGACTTGCTGTTTTTCTCTGCTGGAAATGATTACTTGAGTCCTGCCTGAGCTATGTAGGATTGAAGGGTTCATTCTGCTATTCAAGTAATAGGCTTTTCCAGTGGGATGACCTATGCCGGCCATGTAATTAGCTGTGGCAGCTTCAAATGATAAATGCCCAGATACATATTAGAAATACTACATGAGAGCTCTTTGTATCATGGTTCCCTTTCTTAGATACCAGAAGGGAGGTGCAAGAAGACTTTTCAATTAAAATACAGCGAACACTGTACGTAAAGGAAAGGGACAAGGGAGATATTAGAGGCAGAATGGTAAGAAAATGAATTTATTAGCCTGTCACGGAAAAGTGATTTTTTGACAATTGAGGTAGATGTGATTGGAAAAGATGAGGTGCCATTAGCCACCCTCTTAGAATTCAGCATAACTAGAGTAAAAAAAATGTACAGCTTGGTCTGTTTGTGAATGGAGAACATTTGAACCATGATGATGCGTGGAAAGGCTGCATGGACGATGCGTTTAGCCTTGTGTAAGCTTTGTATTTCCACTGAAAGGAAGTTTAGAATGGGCATGCAGGAGAGATCAGTGCATACAGCCATCTGTTACTGAAACCAGCTGGCATTTTGTTGCTCTTCTGTCACCACAAACCCAACCACTCAAAAGCCTGTTTTCTCTTTCAGTTATTATTCTTTGATCTTCTTGAAGTCCATTTCTTTCATTCTTTGATTGGTTGTTAAAGGTGCCTTGTCCCTTCAGGGGCCACTTTTGTATTGACCTTTAAGATAATTTCCCAGCTAAATCTTTGCTGGGGTTTTGCTGGTGGAATTTGGATGTCCCATTACTTTGGACTCTTGTCAGGGAATTGGCTACCATAGAAGTTTGTAATGGTGTTTGCAGGTGGCTTAGCATTCATAAACTGTGCTTGACATGCCAGTTAACTCCCACTGGAGAAGCACTTTTGAGAGAAGTTACCAGTTCTGGTGCAAGGTCCTGATACAAAGTCTAATACCAGCACTTCCATTCTTAACATGACTGGTCTTGCACACTGCTTCCTACGGTGCTTTCTGATACAGACTAGGTGAAACTTTTAATCAGGACAACTCTGGCTGAGTTGTCTCATTATAGAGCATTGTTCCAATGCCATAGAGCAGCTCACAGCAAGCTCATAGGAGCAAACCCATTCAACCCCATCTGTTCTACAGTGTCCTGTTTGACTTGATTGCCTCACTAAGGGGCAAGGGTGTGCAACAAGTACAGCAAATTTAAGTGGTGCCTCTTTTGAATAAAATCACATCCTTTAACAACTTTGTGTCCTAATTAATAAGCTCTCCAAAAGTTAAGTTTTCAGCAGGTTTGTGGTGAGAGCTGTGGATAGGGCTCAGGGCAGGAACAGCAAGACTTGTTTCATGCTATTGAGGATGAATTTGAGACACCATCCTGGAGATAAAAAAGTGTATGTTTTTGAAGTATCGTGTCTCTATATGCTGTAGGGAAATACATGTATATATATACTCTTGGACAGTCTGCCGTCATATGTATGTATGGCAAACCATATATAAACACACACACATATATATGCATGCATACATCCACGTACATGTGTCTATATATACATATATGTATGTGTGTGTGTATATATGTATATGAAATATACATGTATCTTACTCTAAAAAAACATAAGGACTTTACTGGGGATATAATTCCTCTAATACTGTCTTGCCTGGCTGTTGTACTCCTTTCCTTTGCCTTCCTATCTACAAACCACATGAAGTTGGTTCTAAGAAAGCTTGTCTTACAAATTCCAGAAGTGTCAAAGCATTTATAAATCCAGCTATCTAAATGCAGATGGTTTCATGATGGCATAGGCAAATGGCACAACTGTTAAATGTTCCCTACATAAAGGGCTTAAATGGGATTTAGGGAGTCTAGAGGCCTTCTTCTACCACATGTACACAGCAAGATTTATCCTCTATGACTGATGTATTTTATAGCCTTGGACTTTAAAATGTTTTGTCAGGAAGGTGAATAGTGGAAGGTGATACAGTTTTCATTATCTCCAGGACTTTTCCAAACATATTCCAGGGGGTTCCATTTTTTTTTTTTCCAACTTGCAGTGAAACAGAAAGGGTTACTTTGAAATCATGATGTACTTTTTCTGGTTCTGCAGTGCAATATCAGCCCTGATTGGGAGACACCATCTGCATTATCACTTGTTTGTCAGATGTGTCAGTCAGTCTGCAAGAGACAATGGTTTTACTGAAAACTAAATTTCTGATTCTGCACCTAGTTGCAGAAAAGATAATTGTGCTCTGTTAAGAGTGTATTAATGGCATTTACTGACTGTGTGCTTGACATTTCTAAAAGTTTGTTCAAAGAATGAAATGCAGTTACCTGTGAGACCACACATGCCGATATTGAGGTATCTCTTCTCCCAGGCTGAAGCACTGTTCATTTGTTAAACTCTCTTGTGAAGGAGTGCTTCTATACAGGACATCCAGTGTAAACTACCAACCTAACAACTAGCATTCGTCCTAAAATAGAGGGGGGAAAAAACAGATACACATATTCAGGTATGGACAGCAGCAAAGGGCACAGTATTTTGATCACTCAAGAAATTTTTTATGTGTTAGGAAACCTCATCTGTCTGGTTTTGTGTACAGTGTCATGCTGCCTCTGCAGCCAGGAGCTCAGTGCCTTTTGCAAACCTATAGCTTAACTATTTTTATTCAGACATTTTAAAATAAAGCTAGAATGTCATATTCTGATGAATCTGTCTTGTTCTTAGCCCTTCTTTTCTGGTATTTTTCCTCTGAAACTCCATTGATAGTTGTCCATTGATTGGACAAGTTTGGGTAAAAGCAAATAAGGAGCATTAGAAATTGTTTCAAGTATGAGCATGTTTCAACTGAAGAGCTGGGATCCTAAATTAAAAATTATATATTGTGATGTGTGGATTTCATATGTGTGATCTGTAACATCATTTCTCTCCCATGTGCCAGAGTTTTTCTGTTATTTTTTTGCATCCTTTTTCCCATTGCCTTTGAGTGATTAACAAGTCTGATGTATATTCAAGCTAACGTCTTTTAAAAGGAAATGCAATCTCTGATTGTGTTTTTACATGTGTATGTACACACACAGGCATAGATATAGAAAATATCCCTTTTTTTTTGTTTCTTTAGAAACCAAAAAATCTCTGCAAGAGGGTTTCTTTTAATGATACAACTGGTGTGCAACCACAAGTGGACAGCTTCCTCAGGAATTTGTGCTAGGTGCTTAAATAAGGTAGAGATGTAGCATGAACCTGGGCTCCAAGGACAGGGTGTTTGATTTTAATGAGGCTTATTGAAATCTGGCCAAATGAGCATCTGTTCCTATTGTTTGTTCCATATTTTGTAAGCCAGTATCTTCAGGCAGATAATGGTGTCGGTGTGTGCTTCATCCTCAATTAGAGAGGGACATAGTTAAAAGTCCCCTGGCATCTGGTATGTCACTAGGATTCTTTTGATGCTCCTGGGTGAGCAAACAAGTTTCTATTCTGTTTTGTACCCAGGAAATCTTTCTGTGGTGACCTTCACACTTTCTATTTGATGTGTCGTGAGGGATGCTTTGGTGTGTCTTCAGTCCCCTTGGCTGAGTCTTTGCTTGGATGGATTAAATACAGTCCTGTTTTCAAACAGAGGTCTTACCTTTTCACCCTTTTGTTATGTGGGCTGTGTTAGGTCTGAGATTTGCTGTTTGTTTCACGTCTGTTAGATTTTGCATTTCCCTGGATCCTGGAAATACCCTTTAGATTCCAAGTGCTCTTTCTTTTCCCAACCGGAGATGGGTATATAACTGATCTCAGAGTCCTACAGTCAATACCAGTTTCTTCCATTCATTAGATAGGTCTTACTGTTTATTTGCTCTTGCAGTTGGTTCAAGTTCATCTGTATCTCCTGTACAAAGGAGTGTTCTCAGTTTCATTTTGCATATTGAATTCTTTCCTACTTGTGCCAGAGACAGGCACCCTATGGCATCCCTGTGACAGCACTGATGAGACACCTTCAAAATGGCATCCAGCATCCCCAGGCTTTTACTTAGTTCTGAACTCAGCAGCAGCAGCTGGGAGAGGTTCTCTACCTTGAACTAAGTAAAATTGGAAGAAAAATATAGTCATGCACACCACCCTTGAAAAATCAGACTTCTGTTTCAGGCCACTGCTTTCTACTCACATGTGATAACCGCTCTTGCTTTTTAAGTTCCTGGCAAACTAAGGGACTTCTCAGGGTCTTTTAGGCATTTTCTATCATTTAGGGAATCTTTACTGTTCATTATACTTCTAAAGGTGGGATGGAGCTCTCTTGTGCTCAGATCTGGAAACACAGAACAGGCCTTGGCACTCCCAGTGTGCTCTGTGAAGTTTCCTTTCAAAGATGGATCTTATTATTTAGCTATAGCTACGCATTTTACACTCAAGGGTGATTCAGCTAAAGCAAGGAGTGGTGGAAGTAGCTGGTAATTGAAATCTTCTTTCCTTTGTCAGTTCTTTCTGCATGACTACTTTCGAATTTTTAAAACAAACATAGTCTGCACAATAATAACACTATGTCTGGAATTTTTATATGAATTTAAAGGAGACACCACGAGCACTCTTTAATAAAGAAGCATTTAGGTTCCAAGCTGGATGTTCCAGTTGGCAGTAGGACAAATTGATCTGAAGAGTGTCCCTCTTGTACTCTCAAGTCCCTTTATGTCACAGATTGATAGCTCTTTTTTTTCCAGAGAGTGTGTCTGCATTTACTTTGCATGAATAGCACAACCAGCTTAGAGTTCTGCTGTGATATATACCACTGAGTCAGTATAT